CACCCAAAATATACTCATATCATATATGCTCAAAAGTCATAACTAGACTGGCCAAACTGTAATCACCATCCTAATGCCAGAATCAGTGCTAATTTAGATTTATGCTATGTCACGGATGTTGATTGTGCTGAATTTTGTTCAGATTATTGAAATCTATTTATATTTACATCATAAGATGCCCAGCTGTGCATTTTTAATCAATTTGCAGCTAGACTGATGCGTGTTTTACCATTTAGCATTTCCCTGCAAATTTTCTGCAGATATTCCTATCCCAATTAACCTTCTGTACCTCATGTTTCCACCATTGATGTTTCCAGGTGCTTTCAGTGGCTGTTTATAACCACTACAAAAGAATATATAATGTGTCCTTACAGAAAGGGTTAGTGATATATTGTATCTCTGTTCCTTCATATATGAGCCTATTAGGCACAAGGCCAATAATGATATTTTTACCCCATGCATCAATTTTCACAAGCAATTCAATGTCTACTAGTGGCCTTTTTTATCTTGATTATGATTTGAATTCTGTAAGTCGATACTAGGTCGAAAGCTGATTCAGTTAGAGTAGATGATGATGACAATGTAGAATTGGAAAAGAGCAATGTGCTTTTGATCGGCCCTACTGGCTCAGGTATGCCTAACGGGTGCCTTCCAATGAATGTGTTGGCTTAACTATACAATAGTTGATGCATGATATCAAGTGACGTGGCCTTTTCATCTTAAATAAGTTGTGAAAATATAGGCTGTTTCTGTTGAACAGGTAAAACACTGCTCGCAAAAACCCTTGCTCGTTTTGTGAATGTGCCTTTTGTGATTGCAGATGCAACAACTTTGACACAGGCAAGTGCTTAATAATTTATTTAAGGCCCCGTTTGGTACACATTATTTTTTCATTCTCATTCTTCTACTCATTTTCAACCATACATTTTTCAATAAAATAATATGTTCCATCACATCAATAACTTTTCCTTCATTTTTAACCACACATTCTCCATAAATCTACTATTTAATAATACATTTTTTCAAAAGAATGTGTCCCAAACACACTCTAATTTTGTCTTTACTGGTGAAAATAAACATTAATATACACTTGCTAGCATCTGAAAACATTCCTTTAGTTTACGTATTTAGTTTTCTTGGTGGGGTTCAATTATTGTTTGTTCTTGTCAACAATGCCTGTACACGTGATTCCTTGTCCTCGCACAATTGCAATTACAAACAAAGATTTTATTGGTATGAAATGTTACCCTTCTAAGGTGACACAGAGAAATTTTAGTTTAATGGCATGAATGGAAATTTTGATACCTTTCCCCTTCTGGCTTTACAGATCTCATCTTCTATGTTTTCTCCCCTTTCCCAATTTTTTCAATAAATCTTAAAAACAACCATTGCTATTTTGCAGGCTGGTTACGTTGGTGAAGATGTTGAATCAATATTGTACAAATTGCTCGCGGTATTAATTTATTTTTCCTGTATATTCAGCATACAAGTTGTTACTTAAAAAACATTATGTCTAGGGTTTTTATGCAAGCAATGGCTAACCTTGTTGATCTACCAAGCTCAGCTTTATACCTAAGCTTCACTGCTTCAAGAAGCCAACAACATTCTGCAAATAATCCCTATTTCACGCTGTGGACGTATCAACTAGCATGTGGCAGTGAAGGGGATTCTTTAGTTTTGGTCCAAAACTGCATTACAGAAATTTAATTTCCCATATTTTGTGGTTTACCACATTAATGTTAGATGTTATCTCGTCCCTGTTGAAGATATTATGGATCTTGTATGATTTTGTGGTAGACTTTAATTTATCATGATGGTACTAGTATTCAGTAGCCTTTCATTTTTAATATATACTCACAAGTTGGTACAATTAGTCATCTTCTTAGAGATGGTGCAAATCTGTTTAAGTTGATTTGTCAGTGTATTCATTTTAGGCCTTGCCTGCTATACCTCATTTGTGTTTACCATTGTGCTTCATTTTGCAAATTTTATATCTGCATACATTTATCAATGAAACCAGCTATCTGACCTTTCAAATTTGGGATGAAGGCTGCTGAGTTTAATGTACAAGCTGCACAACAAGGGATGGTTTACATTGATGAAGTTGATAAGATAATTAAGAAGGTTCTTGTCTTTCTCATTTTCCTTGCAAGAGTTTCTTCTTTATATGAATGTGGCTCTAGATTTGACTCCACCTTTCTATATTGTTTGTGTTATATTGAAGGCTGAGAGCTTAAACATCAGCAGAGATGTTTCTGGTGAAGGCGTTCAGCAGGCACTACTGAAAATGCTCGAAGGGACTGTGAGTAACAGTGGTCTTACTTGTTACAAATGCTTGGTGATTATTTATTTAATTATTTATTTCCCACATACACCCACATGCACAGGAATGTGCATAACTATTTTCTATATAATTGAATGCAATGAAGCAGGCAATTCAGGGAGGGCTATTCAGGGAGGGCTAGGTGATTGGCTTGCACAGGGCTCAATTGTTTTTGTTCATTTATCAACTTCTTGAACAAACTATTGGGCTTGTTTCGCAAAAGATCCGATCTTGAATAGGAACAAACTCAGTCTGCTTGTATGTTTTAGATAAATACATTTTACACACAGAGTGAGTGGCATTTTCAATTAATAGAGTTCGTCCTAATGCCGTTTATATACAAATACCAGTTAAGTAGAGGTGGCGAACCTTATGAAAGGGTTGACTTATTCAAGTAGACCTTTTACATGCAGTTTTGATGTAGTACATCACAACTAC